TTTTTTGTAGTAAATAGTGCAATGTCAGATTTTTGCATCAAACCATGTCTTATCTACTGTCTTATTTTTTTACCACACAATGGGAGTTATTACATGGGTCTGGGGTGTACAATTTCATATTTAGAATACTAGCCTCTTAGTAGGACGAAACAGCTCCATGATACTCCAGACTATATAAGGATAAAATCCCTTTATCCCTATGGTAGAAGAAGGATTTTGAAGGTTTTACCTCTATCTCCCCTATTGGTCCCTGCCCCTAGGGAGGCAACACCCACCGTTTACACAAAATTGCTCAAGGATGCTCTACAGATTTAGTTAAAATCCACTAAGCCGTTCAAGACTAGTAGTGTTTTAAAGGCAAAGTTGACGGACGGACGATGGACGCTTGGCCTTCGGGCAGGTGAGCTAAAAAGGATGTACTTCTATATGAAGAAACAAGTGGCCCAAGAGGGCCTGTATCGCTCACCTGAATATTTAAGCAGTCATAGCAAAATATTCTCATTAAATATTATATTGCACTAAAAATATTTCCCTCGCATACTTTGTTGGCTCCATCTGTTGAAACTACCAGCAAAATATTATTATAAGATTCTATGCTTTTTGATTCTTCCTCAGAAGTTGCTTGACATATTTTTCCCTGTTATCTTGAAAGTAGGTCAATGTCATTTTCCTTCTCAAATTGGTTAGCTCTATTCCAAAAAGCTACCAGCCAAATCTTATGAATCCATTCCTTTTAGTTCTCAAGAACAAATCCATTAAAATGTTGTTGACCTCTGTGAACTCTAAAAGTAGGTTGAGGTCATTTTCATTTGCAAACTTTGGTGAGCTCTATCCCATGTAGTCACCAGCCAAATATTATAATTTTATGCCCTTTAATTCTTCAGAAGAAGCTGTTTGAACTGTTCGACATATTTGAACGCTGTGACCTTGAAAGTAGGTCAAGGTCATTTTCATTTGCAAACTTTGTTTGGCTCTTTCCCAGGAAGCTACAAGCCAAATATAGAGATTCTATACCTTTCAGTTCTTCAGAAGTCGTTTGAAGTGTCTGACACATTTAACTCCTGTGGCCTTAAAAGAAGGTCAAGGTCATTTTCATTCTCAAACTTTGTTGGGCTCTATCAAAGGAAGCCATCAATCAAAAATAAAGATTCTATACCTTTCTGTTCTTCAGAGGAAATCATTTGAAGCTTTTGCCATATATGAACCCTGTGACCTTGAAAGTAAGTCAAACAAGTTTTCATTCTCAAACTTTGTTGGGCTCTATCCCAGGAAGCCAACAGCCAAATATAAAGATTCTATACCTTTCAGTTCTTCAGAAGAAGTCGTTGGAAGCATTTGACATATTTGACCCCTGTGACCTTGAAAGTAGGTCAAACAAGTTTTCATTCTCAAACTTTTTTGGGTCCTATCCCAGGAAGCCACCAGTCAAATATAAAGATTCTATACCTTTCAGTTCTTCAAAAGAAGATGTTTGAAGTGTTTGACACATTTGACCCCTGTAACCTTGAAAGTAGGTCAAGGTCATTTTCATTCTGAAACTTTGTTGGGCTCTATCCCAGGAAGCCAACAGCCAAATATAAAGATTCTATACCTTTCAGTTCTTCAAAAGAAGATGTTTGAAGTGATTGATATATTTGACCGCTGTGACCTTGAAAGTAGGTCAAACTAGTTTTCATTCTCAAACTTTTTTGGGCTCTATCCCAGGAAGCCTTCAGCCAAATATGAAGATTCTATACTTTTCAGTTCTTCAGAATAAGTTGTTTGAAGTTTTTGACATATTTGACCCCTGTGACCTTGAAAGTACGTAAAACTGATTTTCATTCTCAAAATTTGTTGAGCTCTATCCCAGAAAGCCACCAGCCAAATATAAAGATTCTATACCTTTCAGTGCTTCAGAAGAAGTCGTTGGAAGCATTTGACATATTTGACCCCTGTGACCTTGAAAGTAGGTCAAACTAGTTTTCATTCTCAAACTTTTTTGGGCTCTATCCCAGGAAGCCTTCAGCCAAATATGAAGATTCTATACCTTTCAGTGCTTCAGAAGAAGTCGTTGGAAGCATTTGACATATTTGACCCCTGTGACCTTGAAAGTAGGTCAAACAAGGTTTCATTCTCAAACTTTTTTGGGCTCTATCCCAGGAAGCCTTCAGCCAAATATGAAGATTCTATACCTTTCAGTTCTTCAAAAGAAGATGTTTGAAGTGTTTGACACATTTGACCCCTGTGACCTTGAAAGTAGGTCAAACTAGTTTTCATTCTCAAACTTTTTTGGGCTCTATCCCAGGAAGCCTTCAGCCAAATATGAAGATTCTATACCTTTTAGTTCTTCAGAAGAAGTCGTTCGAAGTGTTTGACACATTTGACCCCTGTAACCTTGAAAGTAGGTCAACGTCATTTTCATTCTCAAACCTTGTTGGGCTCTATCTCAGGAAGCCATCAGCCAAATATGAAGATTCTATACTTTTCAGTTCTTCAGAAGAAGTTGTTTAAAGGAAAAGTTGATGGACGACGGACGGACGACGGACGGCGCACCATGACATAAGCTCTCTTGCCCTTCGGGCAGGTGAGCTAAAAATGATACAATGAAGGTTTGATGATTGTCAAATAAATAAAATGTAAATATTTGCTTACAATTATGATAATACAATAAAAGTTGCTTGAATTTCTTCAGTTTTATATGATTTTTATGAAACCCAATGCATTGAATTTTTTGGCTCAGCTGATCCTAACTAACATGTGAAATTTCCTTTATTTGTTTCATAAATCTCAAATGAAAAGAAAACTTAAAATTAGAAACCATGTATGTTCATGACAACAATTTATTTGTATGGTTAGCAGTACCTGATACTGTAAGCCAAAGGCTAACTAATACCTTTGCTACTATATAAACCAAAACTGTAAGCGAAAGGCTTATTAATGCAAAGCAATATAGTCTCCCACCAGTAATGAGTTAATCACTATTTTATCAAAAACAAAAAAATAAGATAACAAAAAAAAGTATTTTGCACAAAGGGGGCATTACTCCATTAAAATGGGTTGAAATCCCAAATTAAAATGCCAGTGCACAACTACATAGGATACCGATCATTCATGCAAAGTTTCAATGAAGTCTTAACCTGGTAGTTAAGGAGGAGTTGCACGGACAAGTATTTCGCACAAAAATCCTAACTCCATGAAAAAGGGTCGAAATCCCAAATTAAAATGCCAGTGTACAACTACATAGGATACCGATCATTCATGCAAAGTTTCAATGAAGTCTTAACCTGGTAGTTAAGGAGGAGTTGAACGGACAAGTATTTCGCACAAAGGGTCATAACTCCATGAACAAGAGCTGTCGGAGAACAGCATAGCTCGCCTATGTATGTTATCATAATACTGCAACTATCAATAGAAACACATGTATAGTAAAACGTTGATATAGTGCCTGTCGTTTTATTTGCCACCTCACTTACCACCAGGATATTTCAAGGACTGTTAAATGTGTAGAAACATCTATGTGAAGTGATTGTTAAGAAATTAACAAAGTGCAATAAAGCTGTTTTTGGACGCTAAAATATGAAAATATGGTTCAACACATTGCTTACACTCAATACAAATACTTCAACTTTATAATAGACAACAGCCTATTGATGGTGGTGGTCCAACACTACCCAACAAAACTTGCCCAAAAACTTAAATCAAGTCCAAATAAGCTGTTTTTGGGCCATAAAATATGAAAATATTGCCCCGAACATTGCTAACACCCCATATAAATGCTTCAACCTTATAATAGACAACAGCCTATTGATCCAACACTGTTTGGAAAAAACTTGCACCAAAACTTTAACCTCTGAAGGTTCCCGGACGCAGACGCCTTCGAATAGGCGAGCTAAAAAGGGTCAAAATCCCAAATTAAAATGCTGGTGCACAACTACATAAGATACCGATCACTCATGCAACGTTTCAATGAAATCCACCTGTTAGTTAAGGAGTAGTTGCACGGACAAGTTACTGTGGACGACAGACAGACAGACAGACAGACAGGTTGATTCCAGTATATCCACCTAACTTCGTTGTAAGGTATAACAAGACTACCAAACTCTGTGTACATGTACCATGCTAAAAGATTTATGGGGATGGCCAGGTTGTTATTACAGTGTTTTCCTGTAAAACGGGGGATTTTTTTCTATTTTGTGAAAATTCTTTGAGGTGTATACATTTTTACATAGGCAATGCTGCTACGATATACACATGTACAAATATTAGTGTACAGATGTAGCAAATGTAAAGTTAAAGAAATTTACGATTTTGTAAAACTTTTAAAGTAGCCAAACCCTAAAATGCTGAACTTAACCAAAATAAACCATATTCCTTGGGAATGCCGTAGGTCCTCCCTGTGTATCAATGCACCTTCCCTAACCACCGGGAATTTCAGGCCTTACATGATCACACAGAGATCCCACCAAATGTGACGTGCAGGCAGTCACCCATCCAACTACAGTACTGACCACACCCGACGTTACTGAACAAGTGAGCGGGTCCCTGGGTTAAACAGCATCACTGGAAAAGCAAGCTTTCCAGTAAGGCAGTATTTCCTTAGATTTACAATTGTACAGACAAAGCTTTAATTATGTCATGTAAAGGGCAAGGAATACCCTTTTTAAAGACATCAGTTTATCCTGGAAGGGAAGGGAACCTGTAACACTCTGAAATGAGGTGTATGCATGAACTTTAAGTGCAATGAGTGTAGTAAATTTACTTTGGTTACTTTTGAGGTCCCAGACTGTTAAACCAGTGGGTTTGTTTACTTAAATTTTATAGCAGCTATTTCAAGTACCCTGCATTACTTGAGAATATGAATAAACATTTCGATTAAAAATGGCAAGATCTTTCTGATTTTTTCTTTATTTTGGGAAAATAAACACACATGTAGGCTATAGGGAAAGCCTGTTTTCACCTCTAAAAATAGGCAAAAATAATCCCAGTAAACAGAACGAGATGTAAGTAAACACTATAGTTACCTGAATTCTGATGAGCTCTTATGAATTACTTCACTTTCACCAACTTCCAATACTACGATCTACAAGTACAAAAAACAGTGTTAAAGTAATGCTACATATTAATGTAATTATTGATGAAAACATTTTGAAATTCTCTTTTATGGCAAACACAAATAGAAGTGATTTCATGTTTCCTTATCTATAAAGTAGATCTGTATTGTATTTTTCAAGCCCAATCTCTTCAAACCCTGTAATCTATATGTATGGTTATGTCTCAGGGATCTCAACCTTTTCCATGTTATGACCCATGGACTAAATTACCAGTGGCAGGGCCAGACCTCAGGCCGAATCCTGGCAGCATGATTGTTATTATTTCTCCATGCCAAGCAAGCAGGTACATGTATATACAGAGTGGTGACCTCAACCACTTCCATGCTCTTTTAACAATGTTGTTTAAAAATGTTCAATATATTTGACCCCTGTGACCTTGAAAGAAGTCAAGCACTGCCCTCTGGGCCTCTTTGTTTTTCATTGCTCCAGGGCTGTACAATTTCACTACGCTGGTACCCATGACTAGTTGATTTAATTTTATGTCACGGTCAGTGAAAATAAAGAATCTTCTAGAAGAGATGAAAGTTCTAAAGACTCGTTGTTGAGAATTTTTCTTTTTATAATATTTCTTCGTCCATAAGAATAATTTTTCTGCTTTTATAATATATATACATATATATAGAGAGAGAGAGTGGTGACCTCAACCATTTCCATGCTCTTTTAACAATGTTGTTTAAAATGTTCAATACATTTGACCCCTGTGACCTTGAAAGTAGTCATGGTCATTTTTATTTACCAGGTAGGTGCTTTATAGTACCAAACCCAAGGTAAATTTGTACCTGCAGGCAAAATATGACTCTCGGCCTTACAGAACTTTTTATTGTCTTTTACCCATAATAGTCCATGAATTGGCCAGTGCTTAAAGTTGACCGTTGACCGTTGACCTGAACAAAACATTTTTGAAAAACTTTTGCAGTCCAGTTCTTCATAACACAAACACAATGACTTTTGAAATTTTCAACATACATGTACTTCACCCATGATCTTGAAAGTAGGTCAAGGTCATTTATATGAGAAAATTTGTAGCACTCAACCCAAGATACCATCTGGCATAACATCAAAATACTGGGTCTTATGAACTTAAAAATATTCCCAACTTCTTTACCAATGTTGACCTTTGACCCCGACCACTGCTGAAATTGACATGTCATGTCCTTAACAACTTGCACCGCTGGTCTACAATACCAAAGTAATGCTCTAGACCATATGTTCTTCTAAAAAATATGTTCTTTCAAAATTTTAACAATGTCACTCCTGTGACCTTGAAAGAAGGCAAAAGTATATAGAATATATGCAGGGCCCCTGCATTTTCCTCTTCAATTCATACAGGAGATGGTGTCAGTAAGAAATATCAAAATGATGATCCCTGTGTTTTACAGATAAACCTTAGAAACACTTTTAATACATGTATATGCAATATTGTTTCACTTAGCCCTTCATTCGAAGAGAGAGAAAAAAAGAGGATTTGGTTCCCTTTATATCCACAGGGTTCATATTCATTCAACACCATTTATAATGGGATAGGTGTTTTTTCCAGGTACAGCATTGTGCCAAAAGTATTCGAGGTTTCCCCATATTCAATCTTATTTTAATGCATTTTTACATTGTATTTATTCTAATTTTTGTGGCTAATTATTGCGCCATTGAAACAAAGTTTCATATGCTGAAAGATAAGTTTCTATATAAAAATTCAAGAATATTTTCAAACATTTGTGTTGACGGGTATATGAGGTATGACAAGTTATTCAGATGAAATTGATTTTACCACACCATTTTGTTCTTTGCCAATACAATGGCAGTGAAACTGTATTTCAAAGAATCTTTCACCAGATTTTACAAATCACTCCCAAGGAAAAATATGGAAATATTATCTGATAAAACACCGTCTTTTTTTTCAGGGTGTCTAATTTCATTGCCCTGGTGCAATAGCTTGCTCCAGAAAAACTTAAATGAAAAAAGATATAGATTCATGAACTATAGAGTAAATCCGGACAAATCATGACTACTTTTGGTACGATGCTGTAGGTAACAGGAAACACACATTATTGCATTTGGCCTGACAGTATTCTGTTTTATCCATCATTATATAATGTAAGGATTATTAAGCAAACAGGGGTGTGGTGGTTTTTCCATGATAGCTATCTTCAGAGGTTATAGAATTTTGCATATTTTTAGAAAAATACATCATTGCATATTCACAATACATCTCCAGCACACATGCAATCTTACACATATAGGGAGATATTAGCCAGGTGGTATATAGTTAGTGCCTGATAAGACAGCTCCTTCGAATTCCTAAAAATTGTTATGATTAAATGTATAAATTGTATATCTTGTAAAGTTCTTTAGAGGGGTGGCTTGTTCTAGCTGTAGATAGAGCACTATATCAAATTAAAATGTTGCATATTTATTTTTATTTATCACTAACATTGTCTTATGTTATTGTAGCTTTACTGTACATGCCATATATTTAGATCTACTCCACTCAAATAACCTAAGCTATTTTATAGACAAATAAAGAAAATAAAGTATTTGATACGATATGAATTAATTTTATTTTGCTTGCTAAGAACATTTTCACGTAACATTTTATTTACTTCAATAAGATATTTAAAGTATGAGCTTGAATGCAAACATTATGCTAATTTACATCATTTACATGCTACATGTGCCATATATATACTTACCTTTGTACATTTTTAAAAGGTTTGAAAATAAGCCTTTTAAGTTTAAATGGCAATAAATGTTGATTTGAAAGGTCTTCTATTCTTTCCCTTTTTAGATGACTAAATGATTATTTTTCTGTTCAAAATACGTGCCACTGTTTCATCAGCCGAAGACAATGTACAGGAGCTCGAGAGTAAAAGACAAGTTAAATCGATAGATCCCGGCCGACACACTTAGGTACATATATGCATCATCTGCTCTCTAACTGAAGTGGATGCATAAGCCTTAGGACCTCCGTCGACAATTCATTTTAATACGTTTTGCATGAACCAGATGCACTATCGTTGAGATCTACTGGAAGAATTTTGAATAACAAAACGCACCATGAAATAGTTACGGCAAAAAGCACCGACGTTGGTAGAAGGAGAGACTGTACTGCTGTCTGTTCTATTTTTAGTACAGACTGTCTGCAGTAGCAACCTTAGATTTCTTTAACATAATAAAAACACATTTTTGAGAAACAGAAAACAACTTACCTTCGAGCAGATTTTCACTTAGGTACATATGCAGAAAATTTTGTAAGTAACAATGGAATTTAGCACACAGTATTTCCATAGAACAAGATAAACTGAGACAGCGGCAGTGATAATGCGAGTCCTTGCCGTCTGCCTCGTTTCCACCGTTCAATGTTATATTTTACGCATAAATTATGTTGACAACCTATATTTCGTGCATGAAACATTCATAACATTTCATTCATTGTTGTTTTTATGCATGTTAGCTTTTCTTACCGTGCCAATAAATAGTAAACACACAGGCAGGGTCCGAGTCATGAACGGACGATATTTTGGACAGCAGCAGGGGTTCACTGGTCACATTGTCGCAGACTCCGTGCACATGGTCTAAGGGAGATAACTCGCAAATCATCTTTGCGCCCAACCGGAAAACCACTTCGGGCCTTTACGTCATATATTTTTTTCCTATTCTGCTAACCAGTAAATTCCCAATTGGCAGACAAATTTGCATAATGCTATCGTTGATATTTTGTGTATGTAGCAAAGAATTGTTTGATTATTTATTATTTTTGTGAAATTCTCAGGTATAGAGCATGGTCCACAATTTTGTGCAGGTCTGGGGTAGGTACAGACAGTGGCGTCCCAATCAAAATAAATTCATAACGAAAGAGGTCCTCCGACTATTTTCTGTAAAGGCAAATTAACAGGAAAAGTAACTGTTTTGTATTTTCTTATTTCCGAAGACATCAAGCATGCAGTAAAGATGTACAAACTTTACAGCTACATATGTAGAGTTAAAAGCTCATTAAGCTCTCTGTTGAAGATATAGATTTTTTTGTTTACAACTGAAAAAAAGACGGATGTAAAATACTACCACGGTTCTAAATCCGTCGATACTATACTATACATACTGATACTGCTATTATCACTTACATTTTTACACGATCCAATACTTTAAATTAAATATGTAGATTATCATAATTCGGCGTTACATTTAGATTTTCGATCAGTTAGGTAAGAAATTAAGGTAAAAAAAAATCCCTTTTGTATTATGTAACTTTGATTTATAAATGTGTACGTGGACTTAATATCAAGAATATATATACTAATAGTATGCATTGTGCTCAACACAGGTGCGATCAAGCACGTCTAGATAGGATGCGTGGATGATAAAATGAGAATATTTTCTGTGAATGGTAATGTTACGTTTTTATAATGTCCCAACGCGTTACTTACTGTAACAATTCCGCCGCTGCCACCAGATCAAATTAATTGAACAACACAATAAGTACATTTAACCTTTATTTACAACACAAGCATTTTAATCCGTCATATGATATACAAGTGTTCACCATTGTGAACGCAATCTCTCCACTCAAAGCTAATCAACGGCAAGACTACACAGACCTAAGACTACAACTAAAACGACTATTCTTACTAACTTCCTACTTCTCCAACTTTCTAACTCTCTTTTCTGTCTCTAGACCTCTCAACTCGGTCTCCCTAACACAACATTGTCTCTATTCCAACTCTTCAACTCCACTCCTCTGTTCCAACTCATTAACTCTACTCCTCTGTTCCAACTCACTAACTCTACTCCTCTGTTCCAACTCACTAACTCTACTCCTGAACTACGTTATTAATCTGTCCCCTTGGCAAAATCCTGCTACATTAAAATTGTTGATAAGTTAGCAAAATCCCGCTAAATATGACCCCTACACGACAAGGTTAAACAGGCCATACATCCTGCTAAGTTTGACCCCAGGTAAGCATCAGCCGGCTGCGGAGGCACAAACACTACGTCACAGACTAGACGTCCCCCCCACCTAGACTACAGACGGTCACACTAATTTACAGATCCTAAACTATATCACAAGCACAATTATCTACGGCTACTAAGCTGCTATCTTCAAATAAAACTCTGACGCTGACCACGAGCCAAGGCTAATAAATGCATAGCTAATCATCTGTACACTTTGAACAATTAAACGGCTACTTAATTCATAACACTAATATCAAATGTTTGTTTAATTCCTGTTTTATTATATCAAATGACCGTGGATTAATTAATATTATTATTTACAACAATAATTTTGAGTTTCAAATACATACCGCAAGAGATGGTGTTTTGGGTATGTTGATATATATATATAACGAATTATAATTACAAAGTCGAATTACTCTTGTGAATATCTATGATTCAAATACAGATTACTGCAACTCTATGAATGTAGGAAACAGAATAAAATAGTTTAATACCACAGAATGAATTATTGAGACTTAAATATTTTCACCTACTCCCGCCGGCGATAGATAAACAAGGAGCTATTGGAAATTGATAATCTCAAAGCGAGAGAAAAAGTTGAAGGTCTTATGGAAATGATCAGTATCAACTAATAGAAAACCAGGGGAGCCAGCTAGAGCAAAACAGATGCTTCACTTGAAATCTTGTTCAGGGCAGTGAATATCGATAAATCTGTCGCACATTTTGTAGATCTATATTGTCCTATCACTTTTAGTAACAAAATGCTATTTCATCATGGAAGTCAAGTTTTAAAAATCGCAAGTTAACAAATAAAGTTTTGCTTTCAGTTTGCATGTTGTTGTCAATATGAATGCCAATTGAAAAACACAAGTTCCATGAAGAGCACGCTTCGCGTTTAAAATTTGTACTATGATATGCACAATCTCCTCTCCATTGAAGAATCGTGGTTTGTCTGAACTGTCACTGTCTGCTGATTAAGGACATTAATTGGAGAAATGGACCTGCTGTAGTTAGTGTATAATGCGACTAGTGTGAACCGGGGGTATTCTGTTGTGTTTTCTAGTTAGAGGACAATACAGAGACCGAATTGACCTGCTGACCCCGACACTTGGATCTCTATCTTTTCTTTTTTCACCTTCTCTGTCTTTATGGCGATGCTTCCCGAGGCATCCGTTTTCATATAACCCTGGTTGACTTAAACTTTAAAAACTCAAGATAGCCAGAAAAAATTGCTTTCGTTTAAAACAAGGAGTTTCCTCCCTTGAAACATATGGCTGTTCCTTATTTCTACGGTCTGATTCATGTTTTGTCATTTAGTTGTAAATCATTTTTAATCCGTTACACATGTATGTCGTGTCAAACGTTGCGATATACAATAAATATTTTATGTTCGAAATTATATCATGGACAATGTCAATTTACTTTTCCGCTCAAGAATGGGGAGTGTTCTGTTTTAGAAAAGAAATGTGCTTGTGTTTTAGTCCTATTAATAGCAATGGTCATGTATAAGGACGAGCCGGGTTTTTGTTTACTATCTCTCCTTAAAATATAAATGTTTGTTTAATATCAGTGTGTAGGCCTATTGGTTATATTAAAGCTTCTATTTGACATCGAAATTTTACTTATATCGTTACTCAATGAATCAATGTTATACAATATCTCGATCATTATACAAAAAAAAAAAAAAAAAAAAAAAGGGTTAAGAAAAAAATCAGCTAAAGGTAATACGGTAACGTTAAAATAATTATTTACATATATGATTTCATAACATATGGATATCAAAAAATGCCGCGCGTGTGGCTCACTGTCAATGGCATGTGCGTATGGAGTACGGTGGCCGAGTGGTTAAGGCGTTGGACTTAAGTTCCAATGGAGCTCTCTCCGCGTGGGTTCGAACCCCACCCGTACTAGATATTTTTATCAAAGTTTTCAAATTCAAAATTAACTTGTAACATTTTAGCTCTAGGACCGGATACACGCACTGTTCACACGTTGTAAAAAGTGCCTAGACGTGATAGACATCGTAGGTCTGCATCACCTTTATACCCTACGTGAAAATCGTATTTTTCTTATCCTGTTGAGCAGAGACATATACATCCACTATATACGTCTCTGTGTTGAGGAATTTCAACGAATTATCACAAAATAGAATACACTGCACTACTCATCGAAACAACGGTGTGATAAACATAATAAACCTAACAACTAGCTTAAGATTACTTTATTTACCAATAGCACCGTACTTTGACGACGTTATTACATTACAGCTCCTCTTAGAGTACGCTATATAGCCGATTCCTGTTTAGAACTATCTTAACACTTAGCTAAAAATACTATAGAGAACGTTATCAAGCTAATTGCATGTTTAACTATGCTATTAACATATTGGCTATTGCAGTATTGATTCAGACGTGCCTACTGTTTAAATGACGTATTTATACCGTGCTCACATTGTCTTTTTGTCTGACAGATTAATACAGTTAATATCTTCATCAGGAGAACAAGGTTTAGAAAAATTCGCAAGTAAACAAATAAAGTTTTGCTTTCAGTTGCCTTATTATTGTCAATATAAATGCCAATTGGAAAAGACGATTTCCACGAAGAGCATGTTTTATTGGTAAATTTTATCTTCCCTTAAAATATTTGTTATTTCTATTCAAACTCGCAATTTTACCTGGATCGTTTCTCAATGAATCAATGTTATACAATATCTCAGTATATAACCAACATAAAAATTTAAGAAACAAACAGTCAAATATAATACGGTAACGAACTTATTTTCTTATATAAATTCATAACTCATTGATATCCCGTGTCTCTCACTGGCAATGTTATCTGCATAAGAAGTACGGTGGCGTGGGTTCGAACCCCACCCGTACTAGATATTTTTATCAAAGTTTTTTTTGTCAAATGGAAACACACTAGTAACAAAGTAGTCCTTGTGCCGGATGCACGCACTGTTCACACGTTGTGAAAAATGGCTAACCGTTATAGAAATCGTAGGTCTGCATCACGTTCATACACTGCGTGAAAATCGTATTTATCTGATCCTGTTGAGGAATTTCAACGAATTATCACAAAATGGAGTACACTGCACTACTCCTCGAAACAACGGTGTGATGCCATAAAAAGCTAGCAACAAGCTTAAGATAACTTTATTTACCAATAGCACCGAATTTTGACGACGTAATTAACATAACAGCTGCTCTTAGATTACGCTATATAGCCGATGGAGCATTTTTAGGACGTTTCTTAACACACAGCTAAAATTACTATAGATAACGTTATCAAGCTAATTGCGTGTTTAACGATTCTATTAACATATTGGCTATTGCAGTATTAATTCAGACGTGCGAACTGTTTAAATGACGTATTTATACCGTGCTC